GCCTCCTCTAGCCGCGGGGCGCCAATCTCTTCCGCTCCATTAGCTCATTGAAACAGGAGTCTGGTTAAACAAAAGAGATGCAATCTGATCCTCTGTCCTCCCTCTCTCTTCTTCTGAGGCCATACATGTCTCTCTCGCACACCACGGGTCTTCGCGCCCTGTTTGTCAGTGAGACTGGCCTGTTCGTTCGCAAGCCAGCGGGGAGGGGGATCTTATTAGCATTAAAAGCCTCCACCGTGAAATTCATTTATAATTGCTAGAGAGAGAGAGAGATAGCGAAAGCATATGCGTCCCGAATTACGTTTGAATAAGTTTGTGATATGTTAACATGGAATGGAATGCGACAGACTGCAATTATGACGCCTTTGTGACTGTCAAATTCGATTCATAAGAGGCTCGTTCCACGGCGAGCGCCCGTAGAGAAGAAGCTGAGGTGAATCTTAATGCAGCTCAAAGAGGAGACTTGGAGATTTCCGCTGGAGGATATACGAAAGAGCATTGTGATAAAGTCAGTAAAATGACCTGCATTTATTGCCAGTGTTTCTTAATGCGTGTTCAGTTGGTGCAAAATGGCCAAGCACTTAAAACTGAAACAGGTCTTTCATTCATATCAGACAGAATTAAAGAGACAGACGCTGCTTGGTGGCTATGATGAACCAGGTGTGCTGCCATCTGGCCGATCCAGCCCTATATGCGCTCTCTTTCTCTCCATAGAACAGGGATGCCCAAACTTTTTCTTATGAAAGGCCAATGATTGAGGCTATAGTGGGCCGGAGGTAATTATAGTTGCATGGGTAATTTCCTAATTTCTTTAATAATATTTAAAAATGATCAGAAAACATTACTTTATAATAACTAATGCAGTATTTCTTTTACATTTTATAATGAACCTATTACAGTTAAAGCAAAACAATCTAATTTATAACAGAATTACACTAGTTTTGCCTTGATTTGTTCGCCAGAGTCCTCTGCATAGTCCTCTATGCGTGACAGTATTTACATTTTTAAAAAAGCAGATTCATATACAGCATTAAATTGAAACATTTAATTTCAGTTTGCTTTTTTAGCTAAAAAGGATATGGCAATCGCCCCAACCCTCTCCATCATTCTCACTCTCCTCTCAGGGTTGGTGGGCCAAATAAAAAGTTACAATGGGACAACTTTGGGCATCTCTAGAAAAACAAAAGTTTTACCTTCTCAAAAAGGCACTGGAGTACCATTCAAGGACATTGTTTTAGTCTACATTATATGAAAGACATGTCACAATGGTCAACTGCTATTGACAAGAGACTGATAACGTACGGCTCAACTTTAAATGGACCAAACTTGATTGAGGCTAGGTGGGCCGGAGGAAATAGTTGTCATGTGTAATCTTCTAACTTATTTAATAATATTTAAAAATGAGTAGAAAACATTGCTTTATAATAACAAATACAGTATTTTTTTTACATTTTATAATGAACTTATTACAGTAAAAACAAAAAAAATCTAATTTCGAACAGAATTACATACGTTTTTGCCTTGATTTGCGGGCCAATGTCTTCTGCATATTCCTCTATGCGTGACAGTGTTTATATTTTTAAAAAAGCAGATTTATTTACAACATTAAATTGAAACATTTAATTTAATATTATATGAAAGACGTCACAATGGGCAAGTGATATTGACAAAAGACTGATAACGTGCAGCTCAACATTAAATAGACCACATGTGTAGGCAACGGATGCATTTCTTTTTATAATAAGTACCTTGAGGATATTTGTTGGAAAGTTGTATCTCATGTTATCTTTATCATTTCAATCTTGTTGTATAGCGATAAAACACCAGCGCATAAAAAAATATCCTAACAATAATAAATCACCAATTATAATGGACACACTACCAATGTAAGAATCATATTCAATTAAATTATGCTACAGTTTAGAAACTTGAAATATTAATTTCTCTACTAGCCACTCTATTATTCTTTTTAAATCTGGTATAGAAATGAAATGGTAGAACTAAATGAATCTAAAAAGAAATTAGCTTTTCCAAAAACGACCAAAAGGGAAAGAGTCCCATGCATATGAGTGTATTAACAGAAACACCACCAAATTATTGTTGAACAATTTTCTTCAGTTTTAAGAAATCTGCTGCCATCTACTGGTTACTTATTACTATACAACAAAACTTGAAACAATGCCCCAATTATTATTAACTACTAGTAATTTTATATTATTTTCCTCTAGACCTTATTAAATCTGACTACATTTAACTATTTCACGTCTTATAAATATTTTTATGTCAAGGTTACTAGCTTATGCATACCATATAACCACCTAAACTGACAATTCATAGGCAAAACCATACAAACAGTACAGCCTACATCACAGTGCACATCCTTACACTCGCATTGCATGCTTTTTTGTTGCAGTAATTGCGTGTTCAGTACCACGGACAGCACCGCGTTGGTCATTACATTAACAATGGGAAAATAGCAAATGAGAAGAGGAAGTATAAGTATAAAACTTAACAGTCTTACAGTTACATAGAATACAACTATATCATCTAATTGGTTAATACACAAGCTTAAACGGAGACAACGGAGTGAATCCTGCTGCACAAGTGACTTCCTAATGTAGAAAATAGGGAAAAAAATCAGGCGCAGGATGATGACGATTAAACTGACTACAGTGGTCTGTCCAATGAGAGCAGTGATTTATGATTTTGGGAAATACTTGTGGGTGTCCGTATCAGTGATGAAATGTGTCTAATAAAATGCTTCCAGCATAACTGTACGTCGACGTAGTTCGAACGGAAATCTTCGAGGTCGCTAAAGGGAAACAATCCATGTCAGAGATAACGCCTGATCATCTTCTATTTGCGCTCAGTATCTGAAAACCACAATTCTCCATTGCCATGATAACTCTAGCGAAACCTTCACGGAGACTGTTCGACTACCAATGCGACGACGGATCCGCGCTTCACCGAGGGCCGCGAAGATAAAGGAAGACACCGGCTGATGGAGGCTTCATGAACATGTCGCACAGGACAGCATATCAGCAGCGAGTCACCATTACATGACATGGAGAAACATCCGTGGTAGGTTTTATTTCTAGCATTTTCTTCAAATGCACTAGGCTATAGCAATGGAAAATGGTTCATGGAAAAAATGCATGTCACCCTATAAAACGCACAGCTATCTAGGTTAAATGAAAATGCGACCTGAAAATATATATTATTAGGTTACATACAATGTCAATGACACTGCTGTATTAACGTTTTTACCGTACTCAACAAATCTGTGTAGAAAACATTTTCACGACGTCCTAATTTGCTTTATTGCGTCACATTGTGACGTTTTAAAGAACCTCTCTACGTTCACCTATACGCTGTTATTAAAATGTGCTGTCACTGGCCTATATTTCAAAGGTTTAGCCGAGGGAAAATAAGTTAGACTTTAAATTAGACTTGGTTTTGCACATGTATCCTAGCCCATTTATAAAGACAAAGATATCAGCGTAAAGAGATGTTTGCTTTAGTTAAACATTAGAAGTGCATTAAAAGTACACTACACTGGAATTTTGTAAGCTTAATCAAATTAAGCTCATGAGTCCATTGAACTTATATTGTGTTAAACTGACTTGAAACAGCTTGTGTAACTTATAAAATTAAGTCAGAACATGATTAACTTAGTTTGACAAGTTACAATAAACTTTAAACATGTTGTTATGAATAATTGATCTTATACGTTTTAATGTAGAATTTAGGAGTTCTACAAATTATTTGCAGAAGTTACAATTTTAAGCGGTCAAGATTATCATTGCAAGTGTTTAAACTTTGTCATTTATTGTACTTTTTAAATAATGATAAAATACTCTATTCAAATTGCAAAATTTATTCAGTGGCCTATTTTAAAACTAAAACTGTTAAAAAAATTAAAAGTAGGCCTATAATGTAAAAACAATCTTGGTTGCCTTATTTTTTTTTTAAGTTGAATCAAATTATGGGTCCACCCATGTCAATTTTTAATTTAATAAGATTTCTTTATAGGATTCCATTTAGTATCGTATTTTGGAACTATTCCTAAAGGAATCCATTAAGATGTTTCTTATAGGATTGTTTTATAGGTAACCTATAAAAGGGTATTTCTACATGGGATCCAATTTATATCTTAATTCCCTAAGATATGCTTTTCTGTTATAGCTATTACTATGCAATAGTTTTGAAGTATTATACCGTTTGATAAAGCTCACATTTCTTGTACTTGAGTGTATTAGTGCACAAATTTACAAGCAAACATGCCTGGGCAAAATATATATATATATACAATGCCGGCAAACCACATAAAACAGAGTGGGGCACCATTTAAGTCCACTGTGGGCCTATAGCAAGTCCACACTACACAGTTTAGTGTATATGGGTACACTGAGTAAGGTATAGGCTTACTGGGGCACAGTATCTGGGTCAGAGCACAGAGGTATGTCCTATGAGCATGCTTTGTGTGTATTTAGTAAATGACAAAATTAGTTAGGTCCCACTAAGACTAAGTTGAGTCCAGGTAAAAAAAATAACAATCTTAAAACAATCTTAAACAATGTTAAACCGACTTAAAACAGCTTGTGTAACTTAAGGTACAATGAACTAAAACATGCTGTCAGGACTAATTGATTATATAATTCGTTTACATTAGAAGTCCTACAAACAATTGACATAAGTTAGCCAGAAAAAAGAAAACACGATTTGGTACCAGTTAATCTTATTATTATTCCAAAACTAAAACGGTTTTGTTGGTTGAACCATTGCATCTTCTCGTGTTGTTCTCTAGGATGCTGATTGTGAAGAGCCGCTTACCTCCATCTTCGCTTTTCAAGGCAGGGGAATGACAGCGACTTCAATTAACTTCACGGGTTCATAATTAATCAATCAAATTCGCACCTGTTCGGGAAGAACCGAAGAACGTTGCCGTCAGTCTGAGCAATATGGCCGCGCCAAAAAGAGTTCATCTCACCGCATTATCAAGCAACGCACACTTTCCTCTGCCCGCCATACCTCCAATCCAGACTATCACTGACCAAACTGTCAAACCGGGTTTACTTGCGCCAAACCCGGCGGTAGAATCGCCACCCCCTCCACATGCTGCAACCAGAGTGGAATTAAAGCTGTTCGAGCCGGATGAACAACGCTGCCCGGAGTTTAACTACCCGGATTTGATCAGCACAAAGGTAAACAACCATACAGGCATTGTTGTTTGAACCTTGGTTTGAACGAATGTTTAATTACAAAACGTTTTTGGTTAAAGAAAAACGTTAATGGTAAATATCTACCGATCCATAAATGGTAATAGTGTTGAGCATTGTCAGTACAAAATGACATTTTGGCTAATTAAGAAAATTATTAGTTTATTTATTTATTTATTTATTTTTTATTAAATGCGTCATTTAGCATTTCTTCTAGATTTCAAATAAAATGTTGGAAATGAAAATTGAATAAATCATTTAAAAACATTAGAAAAAGTCTGAAATTATATGTTATTTTATGCAGAGAAAGCTGTAAATTAGAAAGAAATCTATTTTAATTTCGGAAGAAATGTCATCGGATGTTTACAGAATAAAACAAAAATCAAGTTTTTCTCATGTACAATGAAAAATTGTAAATCCAAAGAAACATTTACTAATATTTAGTTTAAGTTGAGTAATTGATTTAGTTCCTGTGGATTAAACCTTTCTTCTGATTTTAAGGAAACCCCTGAGAAAACAAAACAAACATTCGACGAAGTGGTAGAAGACACAGTTAGAGATGAACTGGAGGCACTTGCAAAAAAATTTGAAGCCAAATATGTGAGTATGAACTCAAGTGGATATATATTCCACTTACAAAGGCATCTATGTCAGTCCAACAGTCATCTTCATCAAATGAAATGAGTGTAGTTAACTCAAAACTGACTGAAAGTTAATTCTGCTCATTTATGAAGAGTTTTGAACTAAGTTAAGTACCTCATTACTTCAATGATGTTCACAGAACTCATAGAGATTAGTTTTTTAACTTGAATGTTTTGTAGCAATTGGTTTTCCTAAAATGGTTTGAGTTGTCTCAACTTATTGGGTTTTACAGTATTTTACTTGGTTTAGGTTATCTTTATTTATTGGGTTTTACTGCACTCATATTGCTTCTTTCACTTAAATGGATTAAAGTCACAGTATTCATCTGGAATAGTTTTTGAATTTAAATGGTTTGTAGCAATCGGTTTCCTCAATTGGTTTGAGTTACCTTAACTTTTTGGGTTTTACAGTGTAAATAAAATGCTGGTTGTTATGAAGTTTTATTGTTCTTGTTGTATTTACTATTATTCTTTAACCCTTTATCAGGTGAGGAACCTGATTACAATATAATTTGTTTCATTATTTTTTTTCATAAGTTTTTTCATAAGTCATAAAAGTCTTGTAATTACCAGGTTTTACCAGAGTATTTCAGTGAGTGCCCTTTAAAGGGTTAACTGTGAAGCAGGTGATATTTTAGTTTTATCCCTCTCCAATACATGCAGTAAATATCTCCAGTGTTCTTGCTTAGGGTGGAGCCGGCAAAAGGAAAAAAGACAGATTACAGGACCTGGTGGATATGGGCTTTGGTTACGATGAGTCCGATTCATTCATTGATAACTCTGAGGCTGTGAGTTCTGGCCAGTCTTTGTATATCCAGATGATATTATAGAATATCAAATACCCTTATAGAAAAGGTTTTACTCAAGTCAACATTTTTCCTCTATGCCACCGCGTCCACAGTATGACGAGCTCGTCCCAGCTTGTCTGACCACCAGATATGGAGGCTTTTACATCAACTCTGGGACTCTGCAGTTCCGGCCAGCTTCTGATGAAGGAGAGAACGAGAATGATTTTGAGGACAGTGGCCTTAAACCCAAGGTGTGTAAACACATTTAAGAATTCTTCAACCTGTCTAATAACCTCTACACTAGAAAAAAAATGATTAACTTTTTTTAGTGAACATTTTATAAGAGCTGAATTTACACAAACAAACTAAATTTAGTAATATTTAACTTAATTTGTTAGTTCAAAGGTGCTGTGTACATTTTTCACTCTTCTAAAGCATAAAAATGGCTTTATATGTTTGCAGATATTAAGGAAACTTGCTAAGTAAGCATTCTTGTTTATCTGAACATTAATGCTTAAGTCAGATATTCTGCTTTGAAAATGTGTGTTTTTGTCTGTCTTTGTTTTGGTGCTTTTAACCCGCCCTATGCCACTTTAGCCAATTATATTTTAGCACCCCGGGTTGAAAACAGCTTATTTCAATCATCCAGTCATGAAGGCTGTCAAAGTATGCGTCCACGACTGAAATGCAACCTCTGGTGGACAATAGCAGACTCCAAAATGAGAAGCAGATTCAGAGTTCCACATGAGGTTATTAATTAGCAAATAATATAAATATTACGAATGTAAACATTTGAGCAGGTTACATTGTAACCTCATGTCCTAACAACACACTACCTGACGAGATTTGCATTAAGCAATTTGGCTGTTTGGGCCAGACGAAACATGACGGAAATTTAAACCAGCCATTCAGAAGAAGAATAGTGTATTTACTGCACTCCAATGAAATAGTAAGGTTTGTAATCTAATTATTCATTCATTCATGCATTTTCTTGTCGGCTTAGTCCCTTTATTAATCCGGGGTCGCCACAGCGGTATAAACCGCCAACTTATCCAGCACGTTTTTACGCAGCGGATGCCCTTCCAGCCACAACCCATCTCTGAGAAACATCATACACTATAGACAATTTAGCCTTTCCAATTCACCTGTACCGCATGTCTTTGGACTGTGGGGGAAACCAGAGCACCCAAAGGAAACCCACGCAAACGCAGGGAGAACTTGCAAACTCCACACAGAAACACCAACTGAGCCGAGGTTCGAACCAGCGACCTTGCTGTGAGGCGACAGCACTACCTACTGCGCCACTGCGTCACCCGTAATCTAATTAACATATATTAAACCTCTTAAACATTATTAAATGTACATGCTGAATCATTGATATGTGTTGAGTCACAGTTTAATTACAGACTGTTTATTTTATTTTCAAGATCTGAGGTGAACTATCTGCTGCAGCTTTCAGTACATGGCAATAAATGTCATGTAAAATGACATTCAAACTCTCATTATAAGCATTTAACACCGAATAAAGAACATGAGGTGTACTTGAGGTGATCATTGTCAGTTTTTCGTTGTTCAGTTGCAAGAAATAGAAGCTGTTTCTAAAATAAAAATTTCAGGTGCTGGTTGGAACAAAAACTCTCTTTAATATGGATAATATTCTTTCTACCATGTGCCTTTGCTTTTATTTTGAACATGGGTTAAATCAGCCTTTAGGCTCGATAGTCAGGCTCGCTGTAAATCTGGCAATCTACACTTGCGTGTGTTTTGATCCAAAAGTGCAGTACCTAGTTCAACCACTGGGTGTCAAACTTACATACTGCACACTTTAAATTCAGCCCATATAAATTGTTTCCAACTATTGACCTTAAATTTAGTAAATCGAATGAACCATTTTTTTCAGTATATCTTGCAAAAAAAAAAAAAAATGTTGAAAAAATGTTTTTGTTTTGTGTTGGCAATCAATCTACATGGCAATGCTGTTTTGGCAGCTAAATAATGCAATTTTTTAAAAAGGATTTTAAAAATGAAAGTTTTCGAAAATAAATTTGTTACCGCCTCTGTGTGAACTATAAAAATGTGAGGCTTTACTTATGTAATACTGCACCTTTTAATTGATTTTTGTAGATCAGTGTTAACATTGCTTATTGAAGGCTTTCACAGTTATTTTGTTTATATAGTTATATTTTAAGTTATGCACATGAAGACATTTTTAGTAGTGTATAAGTTACCAAGTAACTTGTGCATAGCTGGTTGTGCAACTCTTCTCTTTTTTTTTTCTTAAGATTTATGCAAATGATTGTTCTACACATGATCACTTTCATTTTTCAACATGCATTATTATTTCATGCTTCTTAATTGCTTTTAGAAACGAAAGCTTAAGCAAGGAAAAGACAAGAAGATAATGAAAAAGAAAAGAGATGAATATGGGCTTGCTAAGAAGGATGAAGAGGAATTCACAAAGAGGTTAATCTACTCCAGAGATTAGTTTACTGTATAATGTTTTCTGTTAAAGGAATAGTTCACCCAAACATGTACATTTAACACAAAGGAAAATATTTTGAAAAATGTTGGAAACCAGTTCACATTGACTGAAACATTACTATGAAAGTTAATGTCTCCGATATTCAACTGAATATTACTGATGGGAAGTTTGGATCATTTTCCTGTCTCTGATCTTTGAGTCTCTTCATCGAGATGAATGAATCTATTTTTGAGTTAATTAGCCAAAATATTATTAAAACTACAAACAAGTCAAAACTAGAATGCTATAAGAAAGAGAAAATAATCATTTATTATTTTACCTGGGTCTTTTGTCTATAATTAAACTTGTGGTTTCTCAGAGGTTGAGTAAATAATGAATGTTCATTTTGGTTTTGGTGAACTATCCTTTAAGAAGATGTTTGAAATTCTTGTACAGGATCACTATAACGAACAATCAAAGTTTACTTCTCCTTCTTTTGGCTTGTTTCTCAGCACCCCGCCAGATAAATCTTCTGCAAAGAAGAAGAAAAACAAGAAGCCATTAAGTATCGATAAGATGCTGAAGAAGTTCCATAAGGAGAAGCTTCAGCAGATGAAGGAGTTTAATTCTAGAGAGAAAGAACTGCATTCTCTCAATGCCATACACGCAGGACCCGCCATACAAGCGGAGATTCAGGAAGCACACGTTTCATCTGACCCTCTTTTCTCACTCATCGGCTCTGCCAGTGCAGACGACCTTCTGCAAGCAGTCAAAGCAGCAGAGCAAGACTTTGACCTGGATGATCTGTTAGGCGAGCCGCAGAACATCTGCCCTCCAGGTTTGGAGGAGGTGAACGGAGAGGCTCTGGTAGTGTCTGTCGCTGAGAAACCACCTGCATTACTTCCCGATGGTCTACCGCCTATGCTAGAGCAACACATTAAGGACATTTCACAGGTAATTGTTGCAATTGCAACGGGCAGGTTTCCACGGTTTATGGAATTTTGGAAATATTATGGAATTTTAAATTCTGGTCTATTCCAGATGCTGAAAGTCAGGAAATATTACAGTTGAAGTCAGAATTATTAGCCCCCCTGTATATTTTTTCCCTCAATTTCTGATTTACAGAGAGAAGATTTTTCAACACATTTCTAAACATAATAGTTTTAATAACTCATTTCTAATAACTGATTTATTTTATCTTTGCCATGATGACAGTAAATAATATTTGACTAGATATTTTTCAAGACACTTTTATACAGCTTAAAGTGACATTTAAAGGCTTAACTAGGTTAACTAGGTTTACATGGCAGGTTAAGGTAAATAGGCAAGTTATTGTATAACGATGATTTGTTCTGAAGACTGTCAGGGAAAAAAAAAAACTTAAAGGGGTTGATAATTTTGACCTTAAAATGGTTGATAAAAAATGTAAAACTGCTTTTATTCTAGTCGAAATAAAACAAATAAGACTTTCTCCAGAAGAAAAAATATTATCAGACATACTGTGAAAATTTCCTTGATTTGTTAAGCATTATTTGGGAAATATTTAAAAAAGAAAAAAAAAATCAAAGGGGGCTAATAATTCTGACTTAAACTGTATTTATTTTGTTCAAGTAGTTTCTGGAATATAATTGAATTTTAGATGGTCTGTTCCAGACACTGAAAGTCAGGGAATATTATATTATATTATATTATATTATATTATATTATATTATATTATATTATATTATATCAGGGACTATTATATATTTAGCTCAAGTCATTTCTGCAATATCTTGTCATTTAAAAATATCTATTTCTGTCACTGAAATCAGGGAATAATATATTTTTTTAGTTCAAGTCATCTCTGGAATATTGTGGAATTTAAAAGATCTATTCCAGACACTGAGAGTCAGGGAATATTATATATTTTTATTTTAAGTCATTTCTGGAATATGGATTTTTAAAACGTCTGTTCCAGATGATAAAAGTTGGAAAATATTTATATATTATTAGTTCAAGTAATTTCTGGCATATCATGGAATTTAAAAGATCTATTTCAGACACTGACATTAAGGAAATAATATAGATTTTTTTTGTTCAAGTCATTTCTGGAATATCATGGAATTTTAAAGGATCTATTACAGACACTGAAGGTCAGGGATTTTTTTTTTTCAAGTCATATCTGCAATATGGAATTTTAGAAGGTCTGTTCCAGACACTGAAAGTCAGGGAATATTAAATATTTTTAAAGTCATGGAATATCATGTATTTTAGCTTGTCATTTTAAATTTGGCTTTCATTCCTAAAAATGTAATTTTCTAAAGAATTTTTTTGAGTTTCCATATTTTTGTGGTTGGTCTATTTTATCTAAGCCATTTTATTCCTTGCTCATTTGTCAGCCGACACTCAATAAATATTTAAACAGTATAAGTAAATTACGTTTTACAACATCAAGCAGCATCATTTTTTTTAATTGCTAAAAATGAATGGAAGGTAAGGAAATTGAAAGTCTTGACACGTATTTACATTACTTTATCACTTACACTAAATAATAATGTGGATGGGTCATGGAAATTCAGCATTTTATTCACACTGTAAACAAAATCTTGCTCCTTTAAAATCTTCAGTTAACTATTCTAGTTATCTCAACTTGCATCAATCAAACAGACTAAAATATTAATTTAAACTTTTGTATAATTTAAATGTAGTTGAATCCTGATTAACTAAAACAAGTTAAAGGAGCAAAAATATTTGTTGTCTTGACTTTTTGTCATCAATTTTTTACAGTGCAGTGAAAATCAGAAAAAAGCCAGGAAATTCAATGACATATAGTTGGAATACTTTTAAATCATTTTGAGAGTTGTCGGATAGACATTTGCTCTTTTGGCTTTAGATTATAAGTTTGTACTGTAGAAATACATGAGTTATTCTCAGACATGACTTGTGTTTTATTTTAGGCTGCCAAGAACATTGAAGGACAGAACAAGATGGAGATTTTGTCTTCAGAACTCAACAGTGTTTTACTAGAGTAAGTGGAGGATGAATATTAATTTATTGTACATCATCTAAATAATATGCCAAATGTATAATCATTATATTTCATTCTCTTCTGTAAGATCAATATATCAAGCAAAGAGTGTTTACATCCTCTAAAATTGTTCTCTAATTACCAAAACTATGTAGTTTATAATCTGAGGTGTACTTGACAGTCAAATGACCGTAATAGTGTGAATGTAGTTTACTTTATTTGCTGAATTAAAGAGTGAGACCATGAGGAAAGAAAGTACTGATTACAGTTCACTTAAAGGCATAGTTCAACCAATAATAAAAAGAAATGACTCACTGTTTACTCACCCTCAAGTGGTTGCAATTTCTTTACTGTTGAACACAAATGAAGATATTCTTAACAATATTATTAATCGGCAAGCATTGACTTCCAGGAAAAACAAATACAATCTAAGTCAATGGTTTTTAAAAATAATATCTTTCGAGTTCAACAGTAGAAAGAAAGTCAAACAGGTAAAGGGTGAGTGCGAATGATGACGGAAGGTTTAGTTTTGGGTGAACTATCACTTTAACAATTCATTCTGTATATAGATCCCTAAACATTCTTTTTCTACTGTTGATCGTGATTTAGGACAGTGTATTTTCTTACTGTAATGCTATCCTCTGTCTCGTTGTATATGTTCAGTGTGGAAGTAAACTCTAAGCAGCTTGGTGGGAAAGTGCGTTCCAGAATCTTCTCCTACTTGGCATCACAGCTGTCCTGCAGCAAAGGCACACTGGTTAAAAGAGCCAAAAAGCTCCACAGTCAACAGCAGGTTTTGAGAACTGCATGACACCTTAACACTAAAATAAATGAATTCAATGTTGACAATTTCTTACATTTTTGTTCTTGGTTTTTACTTTACTTTCATTCAGTGTGATTTCTCATCTTTTAGAATCTCTAATCATTATGAAAGAGTCAAATATAATTAATGTAAAGTTCATATTATATTCTGCTTCTTGGATGTCATAATTGGCACTCTTTTAGGTTTCCTTCGATCTAACTTGTTTGAAATTGAAAGAGAAACAATATCTAGATATTAATTCAAGAGGTTCTTCAGAAAACTATTTTGAGTCAGATAAGATTGTCTGACAAAATAATCTTTGAGAATGTCCCTGCATTACATAATACAAAAGTATATTGAGCATTTTACAGTGTTTGAAAGACCGTTTTCCCTCTAAAGACATAAAAATACAGCCCTTAAATGCAAAAATGATGTTTGCAACGATCCTTTGAATTTTATTATCATATAAGTGATGAGTCTTTGTGTGCAAAACTGTTATGGACAATTGATCAAATTTGACTCATTTGCATTGTGTCAATAGTACATAATAATGTTAATAATAACAAAACTACTGTAATCTGATCAGTTTTATTATTATGCATAATATTATCAGTAACACTTTCATTAGTGTATGAACAAACATGAAATAAAACATTTATTACAGTTTTTATTGACCTTTTGTTCACCTTCAGTTAATGGAAAAGTCATTCATAGTTAGTTGTTAATGCACAAATATTTTATTTTAATAATGCATTAGTAAATATTGAGCTCTGATTAATAAATGTTGTACAGGTATATTTCATTCTCAGTTCATGTTGGTTAAATGCATTAACATTAACTAATGGGACTTTATTTTAAAGTGTGACCATATAATCTAATGGTAACAATAAATCAAAAACTGTCTACTTTTAATGTTTTGAGAAAATAAAACATCAAAATATTGGTGAAATAATAATGTTTAATTTTCATTCAGTGTAGCACATACAGTGCATCCAGAACATATTCATAGCGCTTGACTTTTTTTTTAAAGCCCCCATTTTTTTTTTAATGGTACAGCCTTACTCCATATTGGTTTAAATTAATTTATTAGCTCACAATTCTACACACAATACCCTATAATGACAATGTGAAAAAAATATTTTTTGAAATTGTTGCAAATTTATTAAAAATAAAAAACCGGATAAATCACATGAACATGAGTATTCAAAGCCTTTGCTCAATACTTTGTTTATGCGCCTTTGGCAGAAACTACAGCTTTAAGTCTTGAATATGATGCCACAAGCTTGACACCTGTCTTTGGGAATTTTTGCCCATCCTTTTTGCAGTACCTCTCAAGCTCTGTGGATGGGAAGTGACGGTTTACAGCCGTTTTCAGATCTCTCCAGAGATGTTTAATAGGATTTACTGTAGGTCTGGGCTCTGGCTAGGCCACTCAAGGACATTCACCAAGTTGTTGTAAAGCCAATCCATTGATATTTTGGCGGTGTGCTTTAGGTCTTTGTCCTGCTGGAAGATGAACCATTGCCCAAGTCTTGGGTCAAGAGCACTCTGAGGCAGGTTTTCATTCAGGATGTCTCTGTACATTGCTGCATTCATCTTTCCCTCTATCCTGACTAGTCTTCCAATTCCTGCTGCTGAAAAACATCCCCACAGCATGATGCTGTCAACACCATGCTTCACTGTAGAGATGGTATTAGCCTGGTGATGAGCGGTGCCTGGTTTTCTCCAAATGTAACGCCTGGCATTCACTCCAAAGAGTTTAATTTTAGTCTCATCTGACCAGAGAAGTTTGTTTCTTATGGTCTGAGAGTTTCAGATGCCTTTTGGATTGATTGATTGACTTATTGGTGGATTGCTGCACAGATGGTTGTCCTTCTAGAAGGGTCTCCTCTCTCCACAGAAAAATGCTGGAGCTCAGATAGAGTGACCATCGGTTCATTGATCACCTCCCTGACTAAGGCCCTTCTCCCCTGATGACTCAGCTTAGATAGTCGGCCAGCTCTAGGAAGAGTCCTGGTGGTTCCAAACATCTTCCATTTATGCATGATGGAGGCCACTGTGCTCATTGGAACTTTTAGAGCAGCAGAATTTTTTTTGTAACCTTCCCCAGCCTTGTGCCCCGAGACAATCCTGTCTCAGAGGTTTACACACAATTCCTTTCACATAATTCCTTCATGCTTGGTTTGTGCTTTGACATGCACTGTCAACCCTGGGACCTTATATAGACAGTTGTATGCCTTATCAAATGATGCCCAGTGAACTGACTTTACCACAGGTGAACTCCAATTAATCTGCTGAAACATCTCAAGAATGATCAGTGGAAACAGAATGTACCAGAGCTCAATTTAGAGCTTCATCAGCTTAATCAGAGATTACTGATGTACATGTGATTTTTCAGCTTTTTTATTTGTAATAAATTTGCAACAATTTCAAAAAAATCATTTTTTTCACATTGACATTATGAGGTATTGTGTTTAGAATGTTGAGGAAAAAAATTTATTTAATCCATTTTGGAATGAGGCTGTAGCCAAAAAAAAAAAAAACTGTGGAAAAAGTGAAGAACTATGAATACTTTCCGAATGCATTGTGCATTTACGTAAATAATATCAACAGACCTAATCCAACCTACATTAATAAAAAATACATGGAAAATATATGTAATTACACAAGATTTATTATATTTTAAACGATGGAAATCTTATTGTTGTAAAACTTATTGATTTAATGGAATGTGGCAAAGTATAAATATTTAAAATAGCAACTAAATAGTATTTTGGGGTTACACTGTGGTCATTAATTAGTCTCTGTTAGTATGTTATACAATTATTTTGTCTAATATGACTAACAATAACTACATTTACATGGACATCCATAATCAAATGAGTTGCCTTAATCTGAATAAGTAAATAATATGATTAAGGTGTTTACAGTTGCATACATTTCCACCGAAGTTTCATGTAATTTCGGGTGTTTCATTTTTTAAGTTTTTGACTTTAACCACACCCCCCCCCCCCCAATACCAACTTTGAGATAATGGATGAGAGTTTGGAGTAAGGATTGGTGTTTTAATGGAATGTGATACCACATGCCGAATAGAAAAAAAAACTCAATGTCTGTGGTACTTTACTGACTCGGTAGGTGCAGAGAATAGTGTCAAACAGCCGCATGTGTATAGACCAGGGATGGGCAAACTTGATCCTCGAGGGCCGGTGTCCCTGCAGAGTTTTGTTCCAACACTAGTCAAACACACCTGAACAAACTAATCAGTGTCTTCAAGATCACTTGAACTCTATAGGGAGGTCTGTTTGAATAGGGTTGGAGCTAAACTATGCAGGACACTGGCCCTCCAGGATCAAGTTTGCCCACACCTGGTATAGACTATTCTGTTGCAAAATGCGGCAAAAATTCCTATATGATGGTAATAGTTTGATTAAAGTGTTTGTAATGTCTGTACTGCACTACAATAATGTGATTAGGCACACTCCACATGTCTTAATTCGATTTCAAATTAGTTCGATTATGACTTTAGTCAGATTAAGGTCATCAAACTTTCAGCAGCGAATATTAAACCACACAGAACTAAACTGAACTGAACATCAACACTAAAAACATGACTGACACTTTCAATTGACCATAATCTTCTATGTTAAGCTGCTTTCGACTACATTGTAAAAGTGCTATAGAAATAAAGATGAATTGAAATTGAAAAATTGAATCAAAAATCGCTGTTTACATTGGTAGACTCTTAATCAGAACAGTGTCTTAATCGTATTAACATCAGGTTATTGGTGTCCATGTTAACGTACTCCATGTTTTTTAAAAACGTGTTACGATGAATGGAGTTTCAATAAATGTCTTTTGTAAATCATGGTAAAAAGTAGACAATTATTACTCGGAAATAAAAACATTTTAACCTTGATTCATATACTATATATAAATTAAATGCTGTATGTCATCAGGATGAGCAGATGCAGGAGCTGCTGAAGAAGCTGGAGAATGCTGTCGCCAGATCCATGCCAGAGCAGATCACCCGCTTCCAGAATCACTGCCAGGCTCACTCTGAAGCCAGAGCTGCCAAGTAATCGGACATCACTGCGCTTTTATTGATGTTTTAATTTTCACTCTGCTTGTGTTGTTATATTTGTGTGTTCTTCTGTGTGCTTTAAGACTCGAGGCTGAGAAAGAGCGAGCGATTGATGGATCTGATGAGGAAGAAGAAGAGAGGAGTGGAAAACGGGTATTTGGGCCTCGCAAGCGATTCAGATGGAATGAAGAGATCAGGTCGGGACTCTTGTGTGTACATGATTATTCATAGATGCTAGTAAATGACACAAAAACGGAGCGTTCGTTCTCATCAAATATTCTATTAATCTAATGAGAACCAGGTTTTGTAATAAAATCAAGCATCGTTTTATTATGTGACCTTTGATCATGGGTATACACAAATGTCGCTGTGTGTTTTGACAGGGAGCTGCTCTGTGAGATTGTCAATGTGAAAATGATGATTTATGATTCAGAGTCGCCCTCCTGCTCTAGTTTAGAGGAGTATCTGAAAGCGTTCCTGGAGGCGGATGTTAAATCACTTTGGCCCAAAGGGTGGATGCAGTCCAGGTATACAAAGCAAACATTGATACTTTAAAATTATGAAAATTGTCAAATCGATACAAGAGAAACAGAGAGGGCCGAGATTAATTATTCATAATTAGCAAGTTATGTAATTGGTCATATTGTACCACTATCCTTCAAAACCTTGTCAGAATTTATTTTTTTATATTTGACCCATATTTATTGATTCAATCATTTTCTTGTCGGCTTAGTCACTTTATTAATCCGGGGTCGCCACAGCGGAATGAACCGCCAACTTATCCAACAAGTTTTTACACAGCGGATGCCCTTCCAGCGGCAACCCATTTCTGGGAAACATCCACACACACATTCACACACACTCATACACTACAGACAATTTATCCTACCCAATTCACCTGTACCACATGTCTTTGGACTGTGGGGGAAACCAGAGCACCCGGAGGAAACCCACGCGAAGGCAGGGAGAA